GGTTGAAAAATAACAAAGTCATCTTCTAAAGCTATTCTTATAAAAAAAATGAATAAACCTTTATTTTTACCTCTCTATGGACACCTTTAAACCACAACTTTTCTTAATGTAGAGACAGAGAGTGCATTGTGTGGGCTCTATATATGCAAACGTTTCAAGGGAGGTTATACGGACACAACCACTCCTTCTCAGCAAACACCTTGCTTAATAACACTGTTACTCCTCTGACCTCCCCTGCTTTTGCCATTATTGTTTACCTCCTGATAAAAGCTCCTGTGTGTCAACTATTATCCGATGCACAAAGTCAAACAGCACCAGTGTTTGCCCTCCCTGCAATACTGACTCCAATTATAATTTACATTAAACCTCATACAGGAGCCAGCACAAAATGCTTGTGTGAACCTAAACTAGTTGGCATTTCTTAGAACAAACTCTAGTTGGTGATACATAATCAAAAAGTTGATTCACGCAACAATTAATAAAATAGTTTTAACATTTAAGAATAAACTTTCAAATTAAGTGGATTTCAGATAACCTTAAACTATTTCTTTATTGTCTTTCTTGCTGAGAGTTAAATTGATAGCACTCTACTTGTACGCTAAATATGCAACCCAGTCTCACGGCATTTCGTGTTATAGTCAAAACATTTAATCTATTGATTCGTGTTCACCAACACGATTTTCGCATTTTTTTTGTCACACAGAACGATTTTAAAAGCAATGTATTTCCATTGGTAGTGTGTTTGGTGCCTGCAACACGTCTTTCCGTCCGGCCGGGTCTTGGAATACCGGAAGCTGTGTGGTTAATAAAAACATTTTCTCACTCAATATCTTACCCTAAGCCTAACCCTGTGCCTAAATTATATAATGTTGGAGTTTCTTTGTCATCCGTGAGGAAAATAAATGGGGCAAAGAGCCTCAGAATACTGAAATCTGTATTTTTTGTCATATTTTTTTCCTTCTGAATTTGTTATTATTTGGTGCATGCACGAAACATACTACCAATAGAAATACATTGCTTCTAAAATCGTTCTGTGTCAGAATAATGAAATATGTATTTTTTTGTATCCGTTTTTCCTTCTAATTTGTTATTATTTACATTGCTTACATTGTGACACGAAAAAAATTGTGAAATCGTGTTGGTGAACACGAATCAATAGATTAATTTCGTGACTATAACATGAAATGCCGTGAGACTGATGTATGAATATGAATATATGATGAGACAGTTAGCTTAGATAAGCGCTAGCCCCTATCAAAGCAACATATATTTTACCCCCGTAAAATATCAATATTTCCTTTTCACACCTTTTGAATGAATTATACAAACACAATACAACATATTAATTTATAAGCTATAGAGGTTCTGGTAGGCAGATTTGTGTTAGCGCAGGCTAGCTATTCTCCTCTTCTTTCAGTATTTAGGCTAAGCCTGTGTGGGCTAAGCTAAGTTAGCTTCTGGCAGTACCTTCATATTTACTGTACTTCAAACAGGATGGTCAATTATTATTCATCTAGCAAAAAAAGCTACATTCCAAATATGTCTAACTATCCATTCAATTTGATTGTAAAAATGAAATTGCAAAATGACCTGATGGCCAGAAGCTAAAGCTCTATTTTCAGGCTTAAATTCTTCGTTAGAGTTGATGGAGTTTAATCTTCTAAAAGCTGCACCGACACAAAGAGACAATGCAAATCGAAACTGACGCATGAGTTGGATCATGTGAGTCAGACCAGCTGAGGTGTGTGTGTTGAGGGAGAGACTTAGTGGGTGGGGTGGCATCCACACAGCTTCAATGAAGACTTAAGGGACTTTTGAGTAATTTAAATTGTTACGGACACCATCGAGGTTGTGTGAGTGTTATGTCTGCTGAGTCGTCTTTGCCAAAGACAACAATTGGAAAAGGTGTGCGTGAGGTGAGAGCGCTTTGCATGGAATGTCACAGCTGATTTACATGTCAGAAACAATTTGGATGTGTGTATCCTGCGTGTGAGTGACGATATTGCTTGCAGCGGTGCTAGTGGCTGTTGTCAGACTGGTGGTGTTTTTCCAGGGCCAAGGGGAGAATCTCCGGAGAGTGTGTGTTTGTGTGGGGGAGCCTGGCTCTCCACACGTGAGCTCAGCTGACCCAGTTCAGGAACTACATGCAGACCAGTGTGTGTGTGGCTACAGAAAGGGCGCGTTTGTTCAGATGTCCCCGCGGCCCCTCGCCCAGGAGTGAAGAGCTTTTCAGCTCACAGACAACACGCGCACTACTAGGGCAAACAAATTAGGAGAAGGCTTTTTTGTTTTAAATAGAAACCAACGTAAGAACTTATGCTAGCAGTTTGTTTATTTATGTTCAACATTTTTCTTAACTTAAAGTTGAAATGGTATTTAAACTTTATTGTCAACATTAAGACTTTATTTGACATGCAACAAATATATATCTTGCCCAATTATCTTTTCAACATATGTTTTGCCCTGATACTGTTCCTTAACCCACACACACCCTTTGAAACTGACTCTTCTCCGAACAAGTGGCCGTCTTGAAAACTGGTCAAATCAAGACGGCCTCGCCCTCCTCCCTCTCTTGACATACAGAAAAAGAGAGGGGTGTGCGGGTAGGGGGCACCTCACACTCCACCCCCCCCGCACCGATTCATATTTGCACAACATAAATTCTTCTTTCGAAAAACACACACACAACAAACAGGGACTCGTAAAACACTCAAGAAAAAACAACTATTTCAGTCACAATGAGAAGTATGCAAGAAATGTCTGTGATGGGACGCATGTGGGTAGGGACCAATTCAGTTGGGAATGCAAAACTGGGCCTACTGGGTTAATGAGTTTTGACTGGTGGCTATGAGCTGGTGAGCAGTATCCCCAAAGTGAGATGATGAACAAATTATGATGGTAGCTAGTTAAGGAAACAATTTAGCATAAAAAAAACATGTTTTGTCCCGTTATTTAGTCTCAACGTGGTTGGTTTTAATAAAACATTGCCAAGGGGGGGCTTCGAAACCATGTATGTTTTAAAACTTAAATGTACATATTATTTCATCTTTATGGTGGAATTTTGTTTTCAAAGAAATTAAGTAAATGTAAGCCCCTCCCAGTGTTCCCCGAATGCGGTATTATGGTTGTTTTTGCAGTCAGACCACTTTCTGTTTTCTTCAGAGATACCAACAACACAGGGCATCATCTCTTTCCATACATACGGCAATATAATACAGAGACGTCCATCACAAAACAATCTCTCCATTGTTGTACGAACAAGAAAATCAATCTTCTTGTTCATACTGTCTATCGTTAGCAACACGGCTTTCGTTAGCAGCCTGGATAACATTACTCTCCGAAGCAAAAAATCTACCCTAACATCCCAAAAAACTACTAACCAGATTTAAGTGCTACATTATCCATATGTTGATTTTTCTCTCACAGCTGACTAGCTACGGCAAAACTAGACTCAACAACAGGAAATCATGCAACACAATGTCAGGCTGGTTAAATCATATAAAAATGAAATGGCTTTTCTGTAAGCTTAACTGGTTAACCTGGAACTGGACCATGCCTTTACATTCTGACCAAACCCAACTGGTACTGCCACATTTGGGATGCTAAATTACATGTTTGCTGCAATCTTTCAATTATTGGGATATAGCTGGTCAAGAAATGTTCCTATAATCTGTCCCCTTCCCTGTATCGACCAGGCATTATATTTATACTGGCACACATGGATGTAGACAATTTGTGCATCCAAAGACAGAAATTCAACAAATTACTCCAGGATCCCTTGTATGGACACTATTCAAACATTTGTGTTTTAATGAGTGTGAAATTAACAAGGTTATCACCCCAAAGCTCAACACAACACACTGATCCATTCCAGACCCTTTGGGGTTGGGTAGCAAAACTCTTTCCCCATTTTTGTTATACAAGTTCTGATCTGAGTTGAATGAAGCACCAGCAGCTATTATTTCTCCAGAAGAGGGTCCTTATTTAGTGTGTAGGTAAGCTACAGTAGCAGGGTGGAGCTGCTCTGTGGTTAGCATGATAGCTTAGAGCAGACCCACGCGGTCTACATGACTGCAAGATGGGTAAACATCCAAACAGAGATGCAGGCCGGCACACCTACATCCATGCACCACCCACCCTGTCTTTCCCCATATCTCTGTTGTTCCTTGGTAAACACAGGGGAAGCCCATCAGGACATGACGACACCTTCCCAGTGAAGTGAGGTCGAGTTGGGAGGATCCATTTTGCTGTAACAATGCCCTCTCAGCACGAGATTGGAAAAAAAGACTCCACGCATGAGAAGCAACATGCTCTGCTCATTAAACCCCTCCCACCAATCTTTCCATTGTTAAGATGGGAGGACGGGGGAGCATAAAAAACCTACACCCAACCTGACAGGGCCCCATCAGGGAGACTGGATCCAAAGTTTGTACAACGGTCACATGACCTGTGCTGCAATAATATTGGCCAAGAAGGGCTGATATACATTGGATGGCCTTAAAAGGGGGTGATGTCTTAACATGTTTCCATGATATCATACATTTCCTATACTTTCCAGGAGAACATTGCAATGTTCATTCATTTAAGCATGAATCACTGTTAAGAAAGAACAGTGTATAACGGTTGTTCTCCATTGAGGAAAACCACAAATATACCCAATCACTTAATATTTATGATCACAACACAACAGAATCACAATTTATTGTCACATGATCCATAGATTCCAATCAGTGGGAAGCTAACACGCAAAAAGAGAAGAAAGGGCAAAAGAAAACCCAATTTGCAAGTAAGATCATCAGAGAGCACGCACAAACATATATATATATATATAAACAAAACATTTTGCAGGTAAGGCTTATAATTATTTAATTTAAAACAGAACATGATTATCTGTAGTGTATTGGTTAAAAGATTGGCAAAAGAGAGCAAAAGAAAAGCAAATGTGCCAGAGATGATAAATGCTCATGAAGCAAAATAACAACCCAAATACTGTAAGCATGGCATTATGAATATTCCTAACCTGCAAAATGATTCCTCCATATAATATCAGCGATAGTCATTGGTGGGCCACCGGCAGGGTGTGGTTTACCTTTGTCATGGTCAGTCCTTATCATATCCATTAAGGAATTCTCCAAAGAGTGCAAGCTAAAAGCATCAAAGGGCCGATTCCGGTCCTGCAACACAGCAAAACAGGAAGAGGGTTAGGCGCTGACATATTTATAAAATAAACACAGGGAAGGACATACTTGTATCATTTTATAGCTGCTACATTCAACACATACACAGTGACATTCAGACTCTAGATCTGAACATAAGATACTAGTATTAGGTGTTGTGAGTTGCTATTGTATACATAGACAAAGACACAACCTGCCACTCTAATACACATTTGGAATAACCAACAGATAAGGAAACAATATAAATATGAAAAGCCTATGTTAAGGAGTGTGTGGTAGGGAAACTCTTTGGGATTTGAGCCTTTGCAGACAATTAACATGCACAACAACCTAAATAACAGGCAAAGGGAGACCCCATAAAGCATAAAAGGGTCTCTTTTAATTCTGGTTGGTTGATTGCATATCAAAGGCAACAACCTGCATGTATCAACAGCTCCTATTTTGAGGTTAGAGCACAAGACAAGACTAATCTAAATTAAGGATCTGGGTCTAGATTTGATGGGTAATAAAAAGAGAAGAATAGAATGTATGTGTCTGCCCCGGGTATAATGGTGAATACAGCGGAGCTGATATTGTAAGGGAGATATGTATCTTAGTCAGAGGCTCCTTATGCCTTCATATGTCAAAAAGGTACAATTAAAGTACAGATGAGATTCTTGCCTGAGGAGCCCCATCTGTCAGGATTTAGATTGACTTTAGTACAGTATGTCTTAACAGAGAGGCAGCTTAAAGATGAAACAGCTCCTCCTTGGGCTTTCTCTTAATGTACTCTTCACTTATCTTATGACATTCTGCAGGTTTAACTCAGAGTATCAACCATTTTGACTACAATGCAACTGAAAAGGGTTTCGACTAGAGCTGAAACAAATCCTTAATTATCAGATTAATTGAACCATAGAAAAAGAATGTCAACAAAATGATGAATAATTGAATTGCCTAAAGTTAACGGTCTCATTCCTTTATGATATAACATTGAATATATACTGTTGGACAAAACAAGCAGTTTAAAGATGACATGTTGTGTTCAGGGAACTAGAGATCCCACCAACCAGTAAAGTCTTTCACATAATCTTCACATATTAACATCACTTTTATCATTTCTGAATGGTAAATGGAATGGTAAGTAAACACTAGAGGGAACGGCATAAGGAGAAGGACAGGAAGTAAACACTAGAGGGAACGGCAGAAGAAGAAGGACAGGAAGTAAACACTAGAGGTAACGGCAGAAGAAGAAGGACAGGAAGTAAACACTAGAGGGAACGGCAGAAGAAGAAGGACAGGAAGTAAACACTAGAGGGAACGGCACATTTCTGAATGGTAAATGGAATGGTAAGTAAACACTAGAGGGAACGGCAGAAGAAGAAGGACAGGAAGTAAACACTAGAGGGAACGGCAGAAGAAGAAGGACAGGAAATAAACACTAGAGGAAACGGCAGAAGAAGAAGGACAACAAATATTTCCAAAAAACCTTGACTTCGAGACGAGGGAACCTTAAAGGTCAAATGCTGATACATTTCGGGAGTTAGGACTCATTCACGAACCACTCTTTTGAGTCCAGTACCGAAACAATAACCTCATGGTTAGACTGCTCATTGATCATGAAATGTTTAGACCCCTGCTGTGTTTCATTGAATCTATGCGAATGTCATGTGTGCCAAAGCCTGAGAGCCGGAGTCTGGAGCCTTGGCAGCTGTGTCCTGTGTCCGCTTCCCGAGCCGGGGCCACATTGTTTGCACACCACAGCTATTGTTGCCCATTCGGCTGAGCATTCAAAAGTGTTATTCCCTCCACTCTGAACCCGCGCCACGTAGATATAAATCTGCCCACTTGGTACAAACGGTCAACACTTGAAACGCTGAGCTTTTCGTTTTCTCCCCCCCCCCCACCTCCTCTCTGACACATGTGGATGAGCACAGTGACGGTTGGGGGTTGAGAGCTCAGTGTAGTCAAATGACCTAAAGAGATCATGTACAAAAGTCCCAAACAGATTGTTTATACATCACATAAGAATCCCTATAGTGTGGAGCACTTATTCAGGTTTGCTGACACTGCAGCTCATCTTCCTCATGGCAGATAAACAATATAAAAAAGAGTACATGAAGGGGGTCACAGTAAATAATAATTAAAATATGACTGAACGGTCGGCTTGTATAGGTTATAGGCTGTCATCTAATCCTTCCCTTAGATGGAGAAACAGACAGGCATTGCTGCCATCCGCTGCAGCATAATTCTTTTAAAAGAAATGGCTTAGTTATAAAATAAATCAGGAGCACTTTAATTGTAAGCTATATCTAGAATATTTGAACCACTTTACCTTGCCCTTTGCGATGGGGAACTGAACTCGTTCCTTTCTTGAGGCCACCAGACTCCATTGACAATTGAACCGTCCTGAAGAAAGGATTTGCTGTTCTACCATTTCCTGACTGGTTAGTTGGTTTTGTGTTTGCCTTTGGCTAGTTTTGATTCATGGTGTTCTGGAAGGTAAAATTACTGTTTTTGTTGGTGCAGTCTGGTGGCTTTGAAGAGAGCATAGATAACAGCTTTACTTCCCCGTGACGTAGGGCTTTCTGATGCCAAGGTTAAGCAGAGAAAATAGGCTAAATATAGTGTACACTATGACTGACTGATATTGATTTGTAGAAGTAGAACCTGTTTTAGGCAGCTAAATACTACATTGCTTTGCTCCCGGGTCGATATCTTTGCTCGCTTCTCCAAACTGGGTCAACACCCATTACTATATTCTGTAAGTAAAACACAGACTAAATAAAGTCCAACCTAATGTCAAAAGATCCAAACCATTGCTTTAATGTGTAGAATCAAAACCAACAGTGCAACCCTAACCCTAATGAATACATGGAGCTTTCATCTGATCTTTATATTACATTAGACACACAAACTTGTCCAAGCTCCTGTCCTTTTGCATAACCATCAGCTAGCATTTGAGTGTGAGACTCAACATGTCAGTCCGCCTTCTAACTTTCAACTATTTTATCTGATATGATGTGATTACGATCACAGGGGACCGCACAATCGTCGCCCAGAACATCATTTCAAATCAAGGTATCTGTAGAGAAGCTCATGTGACTTTGTGTCTTAAGCCTCACACTGACATGTTAAGTTGGATTCCCCACATTCCTCTGCCTTTAAGCAGCAGCCAGCAGCAGGCGAGTACAAGCACATAGGAGCATACACAGGACTCCACATTTGACCCTGTGTTTCACCTGGGGGCATCTGAGTAAGAGTGGGATCCACAGACTGACAGAGAGAACACCTGTCCCCAGCTGTCCACATGACAGTGAGGCTGTACCGGTGTGTTCCCTGCCTGCTGCTCGCCTCAGCAGTTCTCTAAAGTCTTACTTCAGCAAACAGGGCGCTTGACATGTGGCACCCTGACCTTGCATCCTGGTGATAACTCTTCCCCAATTATGGCTGTAATTGCTAAATAGCTAAGTGTGGGCTACAGCCAGGAATGCATCACTGAGGGATCCATAAGTCTTTAAGGTCTAATAGGTAACCTTTCTGCATTAGGTTGTCCCAAAAATGATTTTTTTGGACTTTTCTTCTCACATAGACATACAAGTCATTTTAATCAAGGGTTTGTCTTCCAAAAGATGTTAAATAAGTAGTTTTAAGCAAACATTTTAAAAAATAAACTTTTTATCTGGGGTTTTTCACCTGGCCAATTTTTCTTTGAAGACAAGGAGACCTCTGTGGTTTAGCTTTTGGAAGATGACGATTCAGACAACAACTTCCATGATCCCTGTACTTTCCGACATCACCAAATCCTGTCTTTTGTTGTTCTGATATTAAAAAAGGGGAATACATATTAAGTGCACTCCTCAAAAAATGTTAAAGGTTCAATGTCATGGCCATTTCTACTGATCATAATTCCATTGTTGAGGCACACTAGAATAGATTTATATTGTGCAATTTTCCATACTGACATTGGTTTCTAATACAGCATCTCTGTATAGAGACGTGCCGCGGGGCTCGCTGCTGTGAGGAGCGGACAGTGTGAGCTGGCTTGCTGGTGTCGCTTCCTGGTTGCTGCGTGGGGTCTGCGAGACAGCGGGACACGGCGAAGCCACACACACACACACACACACACACACACACACACACACACACACACACACACACACACACACACACACACACACAGTGTGTGTGTGTGCTCGGACCGAGCCCGGGCAGGGCCTCGCCGTGTCCCGCTGTCTCGGGCTGAGAAATCCGCGGAGCTGCAGCTGAGAAAAATAAAGCTGTGTGTGTGTGTGTGTGTGTCTGTGTCTGTGTCTGTGTGTGTGTGTGTGTGTGTGTGTGTGTGTGTGTGTGAGGAGCTCCACGTAGCCGTTACGTCACTTAGCCCCTTACGTCACTTGGTACCCGGAAGACAAATACAAATCTCCAACGAGGCGTTCTGTGGCAGCATAGACATGTATTTTCTGTGTTAGAGTTTTACTCGCTACAGGGTGTACTTTGAGGGTTTGTGATGCTGGAGATCGTTTATATGCATAAAAAGCTAACACACAAGGGGACGGGTAATAACCGGAAAAGCATGACATGGGACCTTTAAACATGTGTGTGGTTCTGGGGCCAATCATGTCTTAATTTGGAGAACATTTTCCTTATCTTTAATTGATCCCCAAGCAATATGATGAATTGATCCAACCAATTCAATAGCATTCGATTTAAAAGATGTGAAACCGAGAAAGAAAGGAAAACACTTTCATCTAACTGACTGCATTTTTTTCCTAGCAAATTAAAACTGAACGTTTGACTCAAACAAATGACCAGAAAATGTTGCGTCATGTTTTAACCATCTGGCGACACTTAACCACGCGAGAATAGATGATTGTACCGGTACTTAAATCGCTGCTGTGTGCCCTCGTTTCACTTCAGCAAACAAACAACTCTATGCAGCATGACATTTGGCCATTTGACCTTGTCTCCTGGTGACACCTGGAGATGTAAGCTGGCCAAGTCTGTGAAAAAAGATAGAGGCACTCAACAGAGGATACTGTGTAATAAAGCCAGAGGAGGCCTCAGTGACACAGACAATCATCATTTCCTCTAAAGGCTATACGTTTCAAGCTGGCTGGAATTTCACCCTGTGCAAGGCTGTGTTTCGTCTGCACATGCAGGCCTCTCTGCAGTAACAGGTTAACGTTTTGGCTCGTGCTCCGTTCTGCGCAGTCTTGGCTTTGATTGGGGGAACAAGTGCTTCTTTTTAAGTAAATCGGTGGTGACTTAAGGGGGGGAGCATTCAGCCGGCTTATTTTTTCATGTTGGCTTGTTTGTCAGGCAGCATAACTAAACATAGGGAAACATGACTAGCCATGTGAAAAAGCCATACAGTATTGGGACTGTTCACTGTGTGCCGTTTGAGAATAAAACCAGAAATACAGGAACAAAATAGGGATATAACAGACACTGCAATGCGGCAGGTTACCAGTTAACAATAATGTTCTTGTTTATCGGTCCTACTGTACATCTCATTCCGCATTTAAGGAATAAACGGGACATCCCTGCCATTTCCTTTGTCAACATTAATCATGCTAATCCTGCTAACAATTGCTCATCCCATGTTGTTATGGGAACCAACAGCGAAAATATTTTTTTGTATTTGGTTTAAACAACCTAACCCTTTCTATAACTAGAGTTATCTACATGTAATGCTACTTTGCGTGTTAGCTGTCTGTCACTACCCGATCCGTCCCCCTGCCCGATCTATACTGCGTATGTGCGAGATGGTCCGCCATATTGGAGAACTCCGGACGGCAACCCAAGAAGGACACTTGACACAGTGGCTTTTGGCAAAGCTGAAAAATAAAACTCGAGAGAGATGAGTTATTGTTATTACAACGTGAATTTACAATTATTTAACAACTCTGTTAGACAGCCATATGCCATACATTTTTGCATACATTCACAGTAAATATTTATTCAGTATGATAGCTGTCTAACAGAAGTTAAATTAATTTCTCACTTATTCTGACAATGTACAAATAAAATAAAAGAACCCAATACAAAGAGTTGTTAAATAATACACTGTCAAGTACATACAGCAGTTAATGTTAGCTAGGCTATACCGCTATGCTAATAAAGAAAGTTACCTATTTTGTCCATTAATAAAGTTTGTTCGTGAGGTATTTCAGCAGAAACACGGCCGTGTATCAATGTTGGCACTTTTGTTTTGTTAAATATCTTTGTTAAAAAATATGATAATAGTTTAGTACGGGCTTCTTGTTACTCTACATTGGTTGACCCTGCCTTCCTTCTCAATCTTAGATTCAAACTCCACCCACTATGCGGTCACAAGCCAATCAAATGTGAGTGTGGATGTTGCCTTGAGGCACTGTCCAAAATATTGTAATTACACAGAAAGCATAAATAACAAAATATACTGAAAATATCGTCAGAAACATAAACAAATCGCACGGTAAAAATAATGTATTACTATCATTGTCATTAGTGCTGTCATAAGACAGATTGTAGTATTATTATTATTGTTATTAATATTTGTTGTAGTAGCCTAGTTGTAAAAGTAATGGTGTTTCAATTTTAAAATAATGAGCATAACTGCAACACAGTTGCCATGAATTCTAAACGAACACAATTAAGCTTACAGTACTCAAGCAATTAGGCAAGATAGCCTGTACACTACTATATGTTAAAAAGATTTATCTTATACAATAAATCTTTGAAAACAAGAAATCCCTTTTGATCATGTGAGCTTGTAATAAAGTGTACTAACTGGACCTGTCAGTGTGAATCCAGAAGCATATGAGCAGCCCTTGAATGCGTCATATGTGACATGTCCTTTAAACCTCACATGCAGAGGGAATTTAACCATTTTAGTGCAGTAAACCCTGCAAGGCAACTATTTCTAGGAATGACTCGATGTGTTTGTCTTTGAAAGCGTACAAATAGCCGAGATCGATGAGTCATACTTAAAGGGCTTGCTGTCTCATTCGATATCTTTGACCTACACCACACAATCTGACAATCTGACGGAGAGCCAGATGAAAATGTGACTGCTACCAGCAAAACCAGATGGCCATTTGTCAATTCACAAAGTCACATGGTGACACTGAAAATAAGGTATTTAATGCTGAAGTAACCACATCTTAATCAACAAAAAATAATAGCATGATACTAAAAGTGAAGACCTACCATAAATGTAACCTTTGTGAAAAAACGTGAGAATAAAGGATATGAAAATGTGTCAATATGTATGATTTATGCTATAAAATGCTATTTGTTCCTATTGTTAATGTCATGAATAGACTATTAATCACCACAATAAAAGGACCTCTGATGAATCCATGGCACTGATGGGTTCAGGGTGACCTTATCAAGGGATAGGCCCTTTTTTCCTGGCTTTGATGCTTACCCTTAATATTTGAGTAGAATATATTGAAAACAATCACATATATATTCATATTTTGATGGGTACAACTAACGACATTGGTGCTCAATATTGGTTAAAGTAATATATAGTTAGGCCAAGGCCTGGAGAGTGCTTTTACCTGGAAAGGCAGTATGTTGTTGCTGTTGTCAGTCCTGAAGGCGCTGTCCTCCATCCAAGGCTTTGGGGTGAGGGGACCGGGTCTTGGGAACTTGGGTGGTGCTATAACGTTGCTGCTATAGGGCTTTTTCATGGGGGAGATGGGGTTCAGGGGAGAGGGCACCCCGACACCGACTCCAACCCCGACACCCACCGCTCTGCGCGGGTCCCTGCCCGCCTGCAGCCCGCTCCACGGGTTGGAGGCTGTGCTCCAAGCCGCGTTTTGGTGATTATTCCAAGCGGACGACGAACCAGAAGAGGACGACGACACTTTGCTGTTATTCATAATGGTCTGATAAGCGTTTCTCTGGGGGAAGGGGCCTTGGTTGGGGCTGACAGGGGATCTCCTCTGCTGGGGGGGCTGCTGCGGCGGCTGCTGCTGCTGCTGCTGCTGCTGCTGCTGGGCTTGCTGTTGGTGCTGCTGGGACTGGGGAGCCAGACCCATATGCGGGGAGAAATTCCCCCCGAACACCGGGTTGACATGATGGGGGAAGTTCTGGAAAAGCATCGTCCCGTTCACCGAGGGTATTCCCTGGAAAAAGCTGTCGTCCACGGCGGAGTTAGTGGTTCCCGTGGACCAAGTGCTCCCGTACGAGGAGGACGGGGAAGACAGGGGGCCGCCGGTCTCAGACTGCGGCTGGTGGTGATAGCTCAACCCGGGCAGGATCGGCGACTCCATCGGCATCTTGTCCCTGCTGTTCAGCACTGAAGCCGAAGACGGGCTCTCCGACTCCGATGAAGAAGAAGTGGGCTCCGATGACGGGGTCGGGGTTGAGGGAGGAGGGTCTACTTGCGTCGGGTCTTGCTGATGGTGAGGCTGGGCTTTGTTTTTGTCCATCAGTAAATCATCCTGCATGGTTTGCTGAGCTACAACGAGGGGAAACAGAGACGAGGAGTTATTATGATGGCCGTAATGCAGGAGATCACACACCGGGCTGTTGTAGTATCTGATGAACTGGGACAGCTCCGACAAGGATATGATGTTAGAGGGAGCAGGCGACGCAAACGCGTGATCACCCATTTATCCGAACCGAAGTAGAGGAAAACACACTTCCCGAGGCTATACCATAATGATCGCCACAAATGACACACGGAGCATGCAGCTGCTGCAGATATTCACCAGATTTCGCCACGTCCCGTTTTTTCCTTCCACGCAGGAACTCCGGAGTTGCAAACTGATTCAGTGTGTGTGTTTTTCACCCAAGGACCTCCCCTATATTCATTTACATACGTCAGTTAATACAGCTGTCCTTCAAGCAAGGCAGGGTGACCCAGGCACTTCGACACACGCGACAACAGAGCTGTTATAATAAAATATACCGACTTCAACCAAATGGCACACTTCGCCCCTTTTTACGCAGTGGGAAATGACGCACCTGAGCCGGTTTATTATACCGCAAAGATGTCTCATGTTACAATTAAAACATGTCAGTCTTAGACTATGCTATTTTTAACACAATGAAAAAGACAATTTAACCTAGTAACCTAAAACTCAATAAAAAAAGTCCAAACATCAATGATATGATTTATAGTCAGGGGTTTTATTATAGCGCAAAGAGGGACTCTCCCTGAGGTCCGCATTGACACATGCAGCAACGAGTAAGCATTATACAAGATGTACCCACTTGCATCTGAATAACTTATAGGCAATGCTGGAACATGACTGAAAGCTGTGTGTATCGAATATTCAAAGTTACACACTATATATTGAACCCTTTAACGCAGCCTTTACTTTGCATATCAGAGATAACGCCTTGCCACTTAACAAGCACACCCTGGAATATTATCAGGACGTTAATTTTGCATTCAGAAAACCACATTATTAAACCCAACAGTTAGGCTAGGAGAAAAATGCAAATAGACCACAATATGCCGGATCCAAGGCTGAGGAATTGAACACATCATGTCAGATGTCAGCACGTCGAGGCACATCCATACCCATAGTCAAATCACCCAACGTTGAAATCATACTAAATTAAAACCCATAATTAATGTTATACCCACAATAACACTGATGAAGCTCCGGAACCGTGACTGCAGGAGAGCTAGCATGCAGACAGCACAGAGGCCTCCCAATAACATGAATGCAGAGGACTGTAGACTTTCACAATGACAGTCCAGATGACATGTCGGATCATTTTACAAGTTTGGCTTTCAAGATAGTCGCAATATCCAACATTGTACACACCCTATGGTTAATCCGTGTTTTTCTCCTCCAAGAGCTGCGCTTCCAAGGTCATGAAAGCAGCATAATCAGCACCGGCCCTTTAAACCACACACACGGCCAAATCCTGACCCTTCTAACGCCTGTTTATCGTGCCATCCGATACATTTCATGAATATGTCCTGCCATGATATCTCCCCTTTAATCCATGGTATGTCCCCTCTACACAAACGACAAAACAGCATGCACACACAGATAGTGGTTGTTGATCTTCTTAAATTTGAATTACCTTTATCGTTCACCTTTTGGGGACTCTGTAAATAAGGATATTTCTGTTTGCCTCGTCTGGGTTTAGTCTGACAAACGAGCTATCCTTGTGCCGAGATAGTCAGCAGTTGCCTCAACAGCTGATTGACTGCGGCGCATGGGTGATGCCGCACAGGCTGTAGGGAGTTGTAGTTTTTCACTATGCAGTGGCAGTGGCTTTTTCTCTTGACTGCTGTGTAAAAAACAAAAACAAATCAGTTTCAAAGTTGACTTTTAGGTGATGTTATAAAAGATAACTTGTTGAAGCAACAATTAAAAAAATAATAAAGATTGATAAAAACAGTGTCTTTGTCTCTTTATGTATTTATCTCTCTGTATGGTTAGTTTGCTATCTACCATTAGCATTACAAATAATGATGACTAAATAAAACACATTACCTCTATTAAAAGTGTTTTGTAGCCATATTTGCATCTTCATGATAGTTCTATCTTCCATAAGTCATTGTGTCTCTTCTGCACATCTGCCGGGAGTGGATTTGACAGCATGGATTTGATGTGGGCTTTAAACGGATGGAGGCATTATGAAACTACATTTCCCATGCACGTGGAATGATACCCTTTGCGGTGCCGTCCTTGTTTTGATGACGCCATCACGCACAGCACAACTATTTGGCGTCACCTGAGAGACGGCAGTTAATGGAGTGATGCGGTAATGTTAGGGACAAACGGGGGCCGTAGCGGATTCAAAGTGGATTTATTAAAAGCGTGATATTGCACCGGGTGCAGATACATGGTATCAGACTACCATGACCGCAGAAGCATAGGTTTATGCGCAGTAATTGGCTCGTGTGCAGCTGACTCGCCGTGTCAACACAAAGGCCTATGTAGCTTGTTAGCATTAGTTCACCAGCTAGTTAGCTTTAACGCCAACCTCAGCTGTTAGCAAACTAACAGGCGTGCCATTTTAATGTTTTTACTCTAGCCCAGTTAATCTGCTCAGCCTACAAGACAGCATTGAGGTGTTTGTTGCCCTTCTGCGATAATGGGGGAACAGGGTGCGGTGGTCTCGCAGCAGAATTTGGACAGGTGAGTTCAAGTTTAATGCTAGCATGCTAATGGTGGCTACGTAGCTTTACGTAACATCTGACAGATGAGGGGCGGGGAGGGCATGTTGACTTCTCCCCCTCCCCAATGTGACATACGTTACCTTGAGAGAGAAGGATCGTTTAAACCTAGTACTGACTTTAAACTCAGTTTTAACTATCATCAACATAAGCTTATGGTATTTTTGCAGTGTTTATACAGGACGTCCTTTGCTATTGTCCTATCAAATAATATGATTAATGCAGGAACTAATCTTAATTGCTGCATATCATTTTGACTATATTCCTATTTACATTATGATATATAATCACGGTAATATATTTACCACGTAACTAAAATTAATAGTTTCAACTGCCACGTGTCATAAACTATTGACCTTTGCTGCTAAGGAAGGTTCTGTATCCAGTAATATTTGTTAAAACGTCATTCATAGTTAACAATTATGATGGTACTGAATGAGTAAACCGCCTGTGTATCTTTGAATTTACTCCCCAGGATATGTAAACAAATACAGGTGGATACAAGACTCGCAAATATCCAGTTACTTGATTACATTTGTGCCTGTGAACAAAGTTTGTGTTTCCACTAGGCATGGGCGGTATCATTTTTTTCATACCGTCATACCTTGCTGACATCATACCGTGGTATACGGTATATGACGGTATCAGTCCCAATTTAAGGGGTAATTTCTCCCCAAAAAAATTTTTTTACTCACTATATCAACAGCCCCACCAAAAATATTTTCCACCAGCCGCCACTGACGGTATGACTTGGGTCGACTTGAGTGAGGTGGCGTTCGGCGGCAAATAGATGTTTCGAACGGTATATTATATGTTCGGTGTAAAATGCAGCCCGAGCCGGTAGACGCTCGCGAAGTGCCGCGACGTGCGCGCAAGTGCAAAACAAGGGCTGCATACATGACACATTGTGCAAATGGCACATTTTGAGATCGGATACAGGACGCGTTTGTAGATGTTCGACGTTGTTTCCATAGTGAGCTAAGTTAACAATATATCATCATACATAAACATTTTCCGGGAGTAAATACTTGACTTATTGAATAAAGTTTGCTATATTCACTAACTAGTTTGGCAATATTATTCCGTGCATGTGTTAAAAACCTTATTTCCATTTGATTCATTGGATTACTCGCGTGAATGTTTAGCACGTAAATGCTTTCGTTTTTAAAACCGTCCGACCTCGACTACAAAACCATCAACCAGTTGCATAGGATTAAAAAAATGTCAACACTCACTCACCCCGTCTTAAACATTCCCAAAGAAGTGCCTCTGTCTCTCGTTGTGCTGGATGAAGTCACTGGCGACGAGTAAACCCAAAATAGTCCCAAACAGGCGCAGAGGCATTTTTCTTTTTTACTAGTTGTCCGAGTTCGGGGCCGGCAAATGCTGCCGCCATCTTGCTCAGCTCAGCTCTGTGCTGAGCTCTGAGAGCGGGAAAGACGGACTGCCCTCCCCTGCCCTCTGCTGGCGCGTGCTGTGCATTACAACCAATGTCGTCCCTGTCAAAACTCCGTGTCAGTGTAATAGAATGAAACGGATCTGTGATTTGGCGCACAGTCTGTGACGTCACGGTATTGAAAATCATACCGACGGTATTTCCAAATACCCTGGTATACCGTAATACCGTCATACCGCCCAAGCCTAGTATCCACACAGATTTATAAAATAGATACAATTATTTTTAGCATACACTGAGAACAATGCCTGAGGGAATGGTGAATGTTTTATGTACTTAGGAAAAACGGTATGAGAGAGGAAGTGCAAACAGGTGTCATATGTCAATAGATTGTCAATAGTGAGTATGGAAATATTTTGCACTGGAATGGTTGGAGAACAAAGAAGAACAGAATGCTAAAACTACAGTGAGTGTTTTTAAGTGGCAACATCAGGGTTTGAAACTAACAAATCTACCAACAAAAGCATGAAGCAGGGAAATCTCCAATCGCACAGCTACATAGCCAATATTTGGAAAATAATATTCTTAATGAATAACCTTTTTGGCAATTGCACATGGCTAGCTTTGAACACTTGAACATGACTAGCTTTGTGTCATGATGTCAAACTGTCATGGCTGTTAAATGCCTGTACACACACGTTAGTGAAACTCTTTTGAGTCCCTTGCAGTGGCAATTTTTACAGCTGACATTTAATGTGACATTGAATTTTCTGACACGCTCTTGATATACCAAAGCCTTGCTAGGCAAAATGGAGCACCTCAGGTTAAACAGATTCATGATCACATGGAAGGGAGATTCACAGGGATAGGTGGAGATTTTTTTAATGCTATAAATGCATAAAGTCCACATTTTAGATGATTTCAAGGCCCACAGTCAGGAATTCTATAGGTCTCTTGCAGCATAGTGAGGTTTCTTGGGCCTAGAAGTAGCTTCGATTGATATGCAATTTTTTAGGTTTCTTTTTTGTAGCACTAGCTAAACACAATGCAGTTGTGAATCTCCATTAAATGAAAGGCATGGGAACTCAAATATGGACTGTCTTTCTGTGGCATAGCCATCTAGATTTAGAAGGACACTTCAATTGCATAACACAGTGTTGGGATAAATTGTACTGGCCTAAATTATTGGAGCCATTCTAGTTAACCAGTGCCCCCGGTACCGGGTGGGGCAACATCTTGCAAGAAACAGCGTCTGAGGGCTTCTTAACATTTAACAAACTATGAATGTGTCATACCCACTTAATGGGAAGTAACTCAGCTATCAGATATTATTAACAATTTTTAGCTAAACAAAACACAAGGTTAATAACAAAGGCTCTGAATTAGCCCTGACCGAAAAAATGCTAACGCACTTAGCACAGAACTCACATTAACATACCCTTATTACTTATCGGATCTGCACAAACAAGGTATCAGCTAGCAAGCTGAGAAATATTAGTATCATCACTGAGCGATCAAAACTCGCGGTAGGGGAAGCTCACACAACGTAGCTTTATGGAGCAAACACGGGAGACATGTCTTACCTTTTGCTGTTTCTGATCAAAAGTTGTGTTCAATGGCATTAAAACGACAAAAACGCTGCTGAAGGTTAATCCAATGTGTCTGTGTCACTTTGAAATGATTACTGAGAAGAATCCATCTTTATATTTGTCAACAACAGAGTTTTCATATTAGCTGCTACGAGAGTGTATGACAGCTTCCGGTTTTGGGAATTCTGGCTACGCATCACTCATTTACCAATGGGTAATGTTTAGATGGATTTTAGGAACTTCCCTCTCAATTCTATTGGCTCTAACGGTTAAAAAGGGGTGTCAATCATCAAAATCAACCGAGGGGGCCCAGAGATATTGAAAATCCACCCAAATGACCCCAGAAGTGTTTTTTTGTTTTGCTAAACCTCTCTAAAAAGGTCAAATGTCACTTGTTTTGCATTAATCTTGATACAGGGTACTTATTATATGTTATACTTTGGATTCCTAAAGCTTTTAGTCTACTATCCCATCATTCAAGGGTGGTTTTCACTATAAGTAATGTTTTTCTTTT